TTGCACTGAGAAGCTGGGAAAGATGGCAAAGGAAATCCCAGCTAGCCAGGGGAGCTGCGGGACGTGGAGTAATGCTGGTGGCTTCCTCCGGTGCAACCTGGATATTTGCACTCGCAGGGTTTGCATCATGGGACAGCTCCTCTGCTAAAGCCATTTCTCGACTAAACATGGAATTTACAGGTCTGGGCCCATTGTAAGGTTTGGCCCTGTCTCAGAGCAGGATACCCCAGGGCCAAACCCCGCACCCCGTGTGGCTACAGAAGGCGTTAGAAGCTTAGCTTGGGAGTGCTGGAGCTCGGGCACCCAGACTGTGCTCTCGCTCCTTTACTTACGTCAGGTCATTAAAAACTGAACTAAATGCCTTTCCATTATAAATCAATCAATCAATCACAATTTTCTCTAAAGAGCTGAAAAGGCAACCAACGCCAGCCCGACCCTGTTACACTCAAGGGCAAATAAGATGCCGCAGAAATAAATACAAATAATGATGCAGATGAAATATTTTGGACGGTGACGGGGCCGTGCTGCGTTAGCATTACCTGCAATCATTTTGTTAGCTCCTCCATTAACAAAACGACAAGGGTGGCTGGCAGCCAGCCATGCCTACAAGGACTCAGCACCCCGGTGCTCCCGGCAAGGAGAAGGGACCCGTGGAAAGCAAGAGCCCATTTGGAGCTTCACCGCTGGGCTGCATCCCAGCCACTCCTCTCCCGGCTGCCACCAGGCTGCTAACAATTACTAAAACAATCATTTGTAATAAAAAAGCAATTAATAAAGTATTCTTTGCGATAATAAAGCCAAGGAGCTGTCCTTTTGGAGGCCACCCATGGGAGCTCCCAAGGTTGATTACTTGCCTCGGGAAACCCGGGGAGAGGAGGCGCCTTGGCGCAGACCCGCCCTGCACAAGCCACCACTTTCCCTGCATCTGCACCACAACGTGACATCGACACCAGACTTTCCTCCGGGCTGGGGAGCCACTGACAATTTTTAAGTAAATTTGTGGTCTTCGTTCATTTATTCTCGATGCTGACATTTAGTCATGAGAAAGCAATTTCTTCAGAGAATGTCCCGAGCCTCTCCTGCTTCGGCGTGGGTTTTGTCTGGAGGATGTGGTGCTGGGATGGCTGCGATGACTCATGGCCATGCGAGCCCCACAGGAGGCAGAGGAGACCAAGGAGAGGAGCCCTGGCACGTGGCCTGACGGTGCACATCGTCCCTGGCACGGGGAAAGCAGCCGCTGGGTCCTCCTCCTCCTCCCTGCCTCCCCTCTGCCTTTGAACGCGCTGGGAAGAGAGGCTCTTTTGATTAAAAATGGCAGGGGCTTATTTGCTCAACCTGATACGATCGGATCCTAAAATCAGGACGTTAATTACTCCCATGTGCCTGATCAAACAGCCGGAGCTGCTCACCTAGCTAGAGGTAACCTTCAGCAGCAAGGCAGGTGGTGCCCGTGGCCCCCCGCACGGCGAGCGCTGCAGGCGGGTTTCTCATCCCAAATGGGATCTGATGGCTGCACAAACGACAGCCAGTCTGAGCCTGGGTTTGCCCTGGTCTCTCTCTGTGGTCTCTCTTTTGTGTTTCTGGCTCCTTTTATCTCCACAGCAAGGGCAGGCCAGGTGGTGACGGCGGTGTTTGCACCATGCGTGGTGCGAGGATCCGTTGGAGCCGTGACCCGGAAAGCCGGGGTTTCTCACAAAAACGACGGAGCTCTGGGCTCCCTTGGGAGCTCTCACACAGCCCCTCGGGCTCAGAAGTCATTCCTGTGACTGAGTCAACTGGTGCTCTGGAGGCTTTGCTTGCAGGGGAGGGTGGGAGTGGGAAGGAAAAGCAGAGAATTCAGCAAACTGAAGCTGCGTTTCGGTTCTGCCACGGGCACTGTGCCGCCTCTTTCCTTCCAAGCAGGGCTCTCTGGAGACCTGAAATATCCATAGCACTGATGCCCCTCTTGCTCAACTCCACAAGAATTATATTTAAATACGTTTTTCTGCTACAATCTCTCCATCCCTACAGAAGCTGGAAACCCTTTGGGTGCCAGGCTGGGTATGGGCTGCTCCCGGGCCCTCTCCCCATGGAAGATTTCCTGCCCTTGCCCGAACATCCCAGCTGCTTTCTGCACCCGGGGCTGCAGCACCCTTGGGCCGGTGCTGATCCCATCCTGGGAATGCCCACGGCCTTGGATGATGCTGCAGGAAGGACACTGCTAATTGTGTCCTCCCCAGCTGGGAATTCACCCCCTGCTCAGCACCCTGCAGGTGAGCCAGCCCCATTTTCCAGGCACTGCTTTCCCCCAAGGGCTGCAGAGCAGCTCAGTCCCGGAGCTCAGCCGCACGAGATGCTGAGCACCTGGTGAGCAGCACAAGACATTCCCAGACACATTTGTTTAGTGTCTGGCTGGGGCTGCTTATCAGCATTGAGTCAGCTGTGTGGGTGAGCTCTTCTTCCTCCTTGTGCTCCAGCACCTCCCCAGGGCCGTTCCTGCAGTCAGAAGGAGTAAAAGCAGCCACTCGTAGCTCAGGCTGTGCCTCACCAGCGAGGCATTTGGAGCAGGGCTCCCAAAAGCCAGCAGCCCTTGCACCAGAAGGTCCCCATCCCACAAAACCCTATCTGCCTGTCCAGCTCCACCAGTGATAGGATGTGGGAAAGCTGTACCCCGGCACAGGGGGGGCACAGGGGTGTGTGGTCCCGGCTCGTTACCAGCATGAGGAGCACGGAGCGGGGATTTCAGCCTCTTGCCCCTACCTTGGGGCAATTCCCTTGGGTTCCACCAACCCCTGCCTGGGTAGGGTTCGAGTCGGTGCGGCGAGGGAATGCGATGCCACGAGGGAATGTGATCCCTCAAAGAGAGCACCCTCTTTTTGCACCCTCAAAGAGAGCAGCAGCACGAAGGGCAGGTTCCCATTATTAACCCCGCAGGGACTCATCCTGCCACACGCTGAGCCCAAACCCTTTCCCTGGTAAAACCACAGCCAAGCAGAGAGCAGGGAACTGCCCCGATTCCCAGCCGGGACTCCACTGGGAATTCACCCGGCTTGGCACAGAGGTGCCCCAGCACCTCCAGCACCCCCAGGGGCTCAGGAGGGACCCAGAGCATCCCTCCTCGGGGTGCCCCAGCTGCTGGGTGCCCGCTGCCCGGCGAGGTGCTCCAGGAGCTGGGGAAAAGGCAAGCGTTAGCACCATCTAGTGATGCTGGCTGCGGGGCTGGCGGGCAGGCTTTGGTGCTCAGGGTGTCCCGTCCCAAGGACAGGGTGAGGGGACAGTGCCAGAGGCAGGGAACTGGGGTAATCCCACCCCAGGGGTAGGTGTGGGGTGGTGGGAATGCTCTGGGCTGTGCTCACTGAGCACCCCACAGCTCGGGCTGGGACACCGGGACCCTGCCCTGAAGGTGCAGAGGATGCTGATGGCAGCAGGATCCTGCCTGGGCTCCCGGGACGTGGTGGCATTTACTAGCAAGGGTCTTGGGGGAGCAGGTAATTTTCTCCAGGAGCCATTCCCCAGAACCATGTGAATTTACCAGTCTCAGCTTTCATTTGAAAGCGCTTATTGGAAATGTTAGGGAAATACGAGTGAAAGGAGTGGCAGGACTTCAAAGGTGAAAAGCCAAGTGAAGGATGCGCTAGATACTGAATTTTAGAGATGAGCTGTAAAAAGACAGCTTTACTTAATGAAAAATTTCACAATATCAAGGGTCAATGTGGCCTGTTTCATACTAAAAGCAAAATTGTTAAAAGTCACAAGATTTGCCCAGAAAATCATCCCTGCCCAGGATGTGCATCTCTGAGACTGGGGCGTCTCCAGGCTGGTTTTGTAAAACTGCGCTTCGAGCACTGAAGTGGCACCAAAAGCCTGCTCTGCTCTCACACTTTTGGAGGGAAGTTGATTTTATTTTAAAGTCACAGCTTTCAAGATAAACCTCATGGTTTCTGGTACCAGACTGGGATCAGAAATGATGCACTTTGCTAACAAATCTTATCCTGGCAGCCACTGGGCTCCTAACACCTCATATTCATCATATTCCAGTGTTTTGCCCAATTGCAACTGAATTCCCAAGCACCCTGTCCCCGAAAGAGCTGGTACCTAAAACACAACTAGGAGCAGCCAGGCAATTTGACAATTTTGGCAAAAGCATGGATAAATGCAGTTATTATAATAGCAGCAAGCATTAGGGAAAGGATTTCCAGCCTCACTCTTCAGGGTTTAGGTTGATCTGTCGTTATTGAAGACCAGGACGAGACTTAATATCAGCAGGCACATGGCTCTGCCTGCTCCCAGAGCAGTGCATTTGGCTGCTGTAAGAGCTGCAGGTGGGTTTCAAGACCCATTTAACCTGGGATTTCCCATGTCCTCCCCGAAAAAGGTCTGACCATATCACCCACAGAGCATCACCTTGCTTTAGCCTGCACCCGACGCTGTCTGCACCTCCCCTGTGCCGATGCCTCTGTGAGAGCTGAGCATTTTGTCCCTCTGAGCAGGAAGGCAGCTGCCCAGCCCACAAATTCCCACTCCCCATCAGTTTGGGACCCGCAGCAGTGCTGTGCTTGGCGGGGATTTGCTCTGCTCACAGCCCAGCCCATGAAGGGCGACAGCCCGAGCACAGGGCTGCTGCCCACGCCTCCAAAACTGAGCCCGAGCTCTTGCTGCCAGCTCCACGCTGTCTCTCCCTTTGGAAAGGAATCCACGGCGTGTCCCTCGGCTGACAAGCAGTCCCCCCCGTGTCCAGGGGCCCACTGGCCCTTTCCTAGGTGAGCTAAGCGAGCACAAACGTCCTGCCTAAACAGCACCGGAGAGGAGGCAGCTGGAGCCGAACGCGCGGTTCTTGTGCAGGCTCCCTTTCCAGTGAGTCATAAAAGTTCCTTGGCAGCTGCCTCTGTGTATCTAATTGGGATCAGGTTAGGGGCAATGTGGATAGCTGAGGATGGAAAATATGTGTCGGATTTACTCCTCTGTCCCACCACTGATCTGAGGGCTTGGGAACTCTGCTGCTGGAGCCCTGTGCTACTCACCAGCTCCTTTCTCTCCGTGCAGAGCCGTGCAGGGTCCAGGGGCTTGTTCTGCTCCTCATTCCCTGCCAGAGGCTGTCCTTCGCCCTTCTCCACGTGCCCCTCCACATCCCCCTTTTAACCCAAGGCAGAAGCATTGCCTTGCCACGTTGGCTGGGCAAAGAGGCGGCCACAGAGCTGGGGGAGCTGGGCACAGCAGGAAGCAGCCTCGGGTGCCGCAGGCACTCGGCATGACTCACATTACCCAGGCCACAAAAGAGGCGTGAGGACTGAGCCTTTTCCATCTCCTTTTTGTCTGGGAGCAGCGGCACTGGCAGTCCCTGCCCCTCTCAGCAGGCAGATGGGGAGCAGCAGCATCCTCCTGCCCCTCTCGCAGAGTTTTGCTGGCTAGCAGAGACACGGCAGAGCTCTTGTTCACGAAAAAACATAGTAATTCCCCCCAAAACATCCCTCTGGACCCACAGCGAAGGGAAGAAGGACCAGCACAAAGCTCTTGGAAAGAGATTCCCAGGAAATGGAGACACCAAATAGCCCCTGAAATCCCGACAGAGATGGAGCTCTTGGCAAAGTGCAGAGCCATGCTTTATAATAGATCTATATTTGGTTGAGAGAAAGAAAAGCCCCTCTAAGGAGCCTCTGCTTTCAAGGCAGAAACGAACACCCTGCTTTGAACAGAGCCTGAACAGAAAAAAAAATAAAAAAGAAAAAAAAAGAAAAAAAAAAAAGAAAAAAAAAGGGGGGGGGGGGAGAACTCTACAGAAAACTCCTAAGAGGCTGCAAACTTCTGCCCTTCTCCTGTGTACAAAAGAAATCCACCAGGCTCTGCCCATCAGCTCACCATCACCACCCAGGACACAGATCCTCACCAGGCCTGTGGCCAAAGGACAGAGCCGATTGCTCTTTTCACAGCAATTTCTCTGCCTGAAGTGGACACTTTGAGAGAAAAAAAGGGAAGTGAGCAGAGCCCATACAGCCTCACGGGGCCAGATGCGGGACATCTCCCTGCCAAGCTCCCGGCTTGCATCTTCCCCTCGTGTCCCCTTCTTGGCAGACACCTCCAGGGGCTCCTCGAGGTGGAGCACATCTCACTTTCTCCTTTTTCCCTACAAGGGTGTTGAAGACCCTAGGAAAAGCATGGACTTGGCTTTAGTGCTCCCAAACTGACAATCCTGAGCTGTCAACACAGCATCTTAAAAGATCTTCTCACCCGGCTTAGCCAAGGAGGATCGGTGCTGGGGCTGCTCCGTGCCATATGGGGCTCACTTGGTGATTTCCCTGCTGCTCAATGGGGCAGTTCCCCACGGGGCTGGGAACTGGGAGCAACAGCACCATCCCAATCCAACCTCATCACAGCCACTGGAGTCCATATGGGACCAGTTCCCACACCAGCCTCCAAATGTCTAGGGCTGCAGAGGGATGGCCAGGAGGGAAGGGTTATTTTGGGCAGAGGGGAAGGTGCAAGCAAGGCTCATCCCAGCAGGGAGGATGCTCTGGGGGCTGTTTTTAGAGCTCATTGCTGGATGTTCCTGGCTGCCAGCCCGGCAGCGAGCCCCTGCCCGCGGTGAGGACGAGCCCGTGGAGCATCTGCCCTTTGGTTGGGATGTGCTCGCTCCTCTGCTGTTGTTTTTGTAAGCTTCTTCCCGATGGCTCGTGGCGTGATCGCCAAAGGAACTTTGCCCTCTCTCAGCTCACACTTTTGGTAAGAGAATCAGCTTGGGTTTTTGCCAAAAAGCAAAACGTGAAAAATAAAATAAAATAAAATAAAAATATCCTGTGTTTTAAATTTAAAATCTACACTATTGGGGTGTTTGTAAAGGACAATCCCAATTTTAAAATATCTCTACAAAAATTCTAAAGCATTATTTTGACCAAAAAAATAAAAATAAAAATAAATAAATTGAAGGACTGTTTCAGCAGAAGAGCTGCTCCTGGACACTGTGGCACTCGCAGCCACCAGGGACTCACAGGGCTCGAGCAGATGCTCAGCCTTTATCTGGAGAGAGACAGAACAAGGGCTGAAACAAGTGCAGGGAGGAGCCGCAGCCCTCCCGTTTCAGGACACGAAGCTCTGAGGGATGGGAACTTCTGGGAGGTCACCGCTGGGGTAGGATGTTGAGCAACGAGGACCATCGGTTTGGTGTCTGATCTGCTCAGCGATCGTGCTCATCCTAAATTCCTGATGTTTCACAGTGGAAGGCGTTTTAGGTTGACATCCAAGAGGGGAACCGTTGGCTCCAGGTCCTGGCTCCGTGCAGGACCAGGAGCACGAAGCCCCGACTCATCCCAGCGGGCCAGCAGTGCCGGAGCCGGGCTCTCCGCTCCTCTTTGGGAGCTATTTAGAAATCATGGAAGTCAATAAATCTTTGAAGTTATTTTGGGCTGGAACCCAAAGATGTTTAATCGGAAGCAGATGCCGGTGGAGGTCTTTCCTGGAAGGCTGGTGTGCGGGGCTTTAAAATGGAGAGAAAATTTTATTCTTGTTGCTAGATGTTAACAACCATGACTTAAAAAATATTTCAGCCCTCTTCCTGGATGTGTCATGGGGTGCCTTGCGCCGACGACAGGCCACGATTAAACATTTCAGAGCAGTTCAAAACCAGATGAGAACTGGGCTTTGGTGAATCCCCCCGCCTCATTCCATTTGTTTAGGCTACGTGCTCCTGCAAAGTCTGCCGTGGATGGGCAGACAGCTGGGGGATCAGCAGCGGTCTTCTCCATCCCCGGTGCCCTTGGGCTGCTTTGCCTTGGGAGAAAAACACAGTGCCTTTTGGATTGCCTCCAGCTCTACAGAACGGAGCTGAATATCTCTAAAACCGCTGCTTTCTGCAAGGGAACAATCTGCCAAGGCCCGGCGCTGGGAAGCTGCCCTGCAGACGAGGTTTGCTGCCGTGTTCCAGCCCCAGCAGCCTGGGATCCCCATGCCACAGCCTCACCCCAGCCCTGCCCGGGGCTCCCAGCCTCTGCCCTGAGCCCTCTGCAAGGCAAAAGATGCCCCCGGCTCCCCAACCTGCATCTGAAGCCCTCAGCATCACATCGAAGGCAAGGGGCAGGAGCCAGTCCCTATTATTTTTCCTACCCCGTAACAACCAAAAGGTGAGAAGAGTGCTAGCACCCTGCAGCCACACACTTTGCTGTAAGGAGCCACAAGAGGGCATTAGCTTTATATTTTTCCCCACCCAGACAAATCCAAGACAATTTCTGGCTAATGGTCCATTTTCCCGTGCCCAAGTACAACTGTGGGAATATTATCTTGTGAATCCTAATGCTGTAAGAAGATGGGTTGGCTAATAACAGCGAGCCTGACTTTCTTCTCATTCTTCTAATTTGGCTTTTTAGTCCCCTCCACGGAATAAGAGAAAGGCGGGGAGCATTCCCTCTATGTGGGAAAAGGAGAATATTTCGAAAATTTAAAAAAAAAGAAAGAAAGAAAAACAACAAAGGAACCCAAGCCACAACACTGTCAGAGCCTGAAGAGATGGAATCAGAATTAACAACCAGATTTTTGAGAATGCTGCAAAACCCTGTACTCCCCGTGTGCCGACAATTTTTTTAGGTAACGAAAGTAGGTTCGCCGTGCCTGCTGGCAGCCAGCGCTTCCTCTCGAGTTTGATGAAGGAGATATTTCCTACCCCGACAGCATCTGTGCTCATGCGTGCCTGGTGTCACTCCAAGGCATCCCGCTGTCCTTAGCTGAGTTCATTGCCTCCGGTATAATTAGGCTTGCTGGATGAGGGCCGGGTGCTGTGAGTACCCTGTGAGTGTGCGGGGATATTTTTTAACCAAAGTGCTGTTTAGCCCGCCCCCCTTAATGAAAAGATCATGCAAACCCGATTAATGTCATCGGGCTGAAACAGAAAACAAACGAGCAGCGGAGTGCCCCTACATCCCCGAAATAGCTTAAGTTTTTCAGCAATATCAGTGATGAAACAGAAACAGGTGGAAAAATCAATACAGATCACAGCTAGGCCGGTATGTAGAAAGGGAAGGTGCTGTTAAAAAATGTTACAGCTGCTGTGTCCACCCAGCAGTGAAAAGCAACGTTTGGTCTGCAAGAAGTTGTGAAGCTGAACGTAAAAAAGAGGAAAACCTCGAAGCAGTTTGATGATTTATTTCCCTTTTGTTTCTCGCTGCCCTGCACCGCGGTCACTGCCCCGGCTGTCCCTTGGCCAGGGCGAGTCACCCTCAGCAGGACAGATCTGTTTTCCCAAGCTAAGATGAAGTCCTGGCATCAGAAGGGAGCCCAAATCCTTTTTTGTCCCTCTTGAAGCTTCCTCCTCAGCAGAGCACAGCCAAAGGGTGTGTTTTGGCAGATGGGTAAAGTTAGGAGAGGAATTGGGACTGCAGATGGGCGCCGTGCACTCGGGAGCATGGAGCAGTCCGTGCGTGGAGCTGGCTGTTCAGCAAGGACGCTTCATCCCCACCTCTCCCTGGTTCACACACCCCCAGGACCAGGGGAGGACGGTCCCTGCCTCTCCCTCTTTCCCCCATCCCCAGCATCTCCTCCTCCTCCCAGCTCCTTACACCATAAATTATCACCCATTGCTGCGCCCCTGCGGTGGCACCGAGTGCACTGCCACGTCCAGAGCGATGTGTGTTGGAAGGGGATGGGATCCCCGTGCCAAGGATGCCACCTATTTAAAGGAGGAAAGAAAGAAAAGGAATAATGAGGGGAGCAGCACGTGCACAGCCAGCTCCCGAGGGATGGGGCTGCTCGCCCCTGCTCCGGCTCTCGGGAAGGGTTTGCTGCGGGTGTCATCCCCAGCTCGGGTCCAGCGAGGACTTGCTAAGGTCCTGTGCTGCCTCCCTCCCCTCTGCTGCCTTTCCCAGGGCACTCCTGGCCTCCTACAGATCTCCGCCTTCCTCCTTTTCCTATCATCCCGTGCCAAGTTTGATTAAAACGTCGCCGATCCCTGCCAGCTCATGAGACAGAGGGAGAAGAGAGGAAGGAAAACAAAAAAAACAACAAAAAAATACAGCCGGTCGTCTCTCTCCTGCCTTCCCAGACTTCGCTAAGGCCGTATGAGGTCTCGTCTGGGACACAGCCGGGAGCAGCAGACACCCCTGCACCCTCCTGCGGCAGCGCTGGGCTCCAGCACGATGCTCACCCCCTGGGACATCAGCACCCAGCCTGCTCCCCTTCAGCCCCCCGCAGTGAACAGGGGGCTCCCAGGACGGTGCAGGGACAGCCCCGTGGTCCTGTGTCTGCCTGCATCCCTGGGGGCTTCCCGGTGACATCAATAAAATAAAATAAAATAAAATAAAATAAAATAAAATAAAATAAAATAAAATAAAATAAAAATAAAAATAAATTTTATTTTAGAAAAATAAAAATAAAAATAGTGCTCTTATTTGAGGGCTAACTTGGAAACCAAGGTATGATTTCACTGAGGTCGCAGCCCTTTGACCCATCATGAGTTTGGGGCTTGTCTGAGTAGCAAAGGCTGATGTTTTGGGGTTTGGGTTCATTTGTATTATAAAGCTTTTAGAGGCTGTGGTTGTCTTTGCTGTCATGAAAGAGCCTTGCAGTGGGCCCAAAGCATCAGGAATTCATGTTTTTTCCCTTTTTTTCCTCATTTTGTCCCTCCCTCCTTCCCTGTGCAGAGAAAAGGGACCAGCTCAGGGCACTCCAAGGCCACATCTTCCCCCGCTACCACAAACGACCCCGCTGAACCGCGAGCAGCTGGGGATCCTCGGCACCACCCTAGGACTGCTCAAACCTCATTAAATCTCAGCAACTCCCTTAATCCCCAGGCCTGGGGGTGCAGAGGGGTGGGATGTGCAGCCCTTCGGCCCCGAGGAGCTCAGCTGCCAGCATCGCACGCCCATGCGCACGCACACGCCCGAGTGTGTCCGCAGGTGTCGGGGAGCTGAGCGGCTCCGAATCCTCGCCACGAGAGCCCTGCAGTCAGTGGGGGAGGGCTGGGATCTCTGCCTCTCTTCCTTGGGGGATTTGATGTACTTCCAAGCGATCCGGAGGCTGCCAGGTTCCCCAGCTCGAGGGGAAACAACACCGCCGCACGTTAATCAGATGAATTTCGGGCTCCTGCTGCCAGCACGTGGCTGTGGCACACTCGCTTCCCGAGCTGGCGCCTGCCGTCGTGCAAAGAGGGGTGGGTGCCAGCCCCCCGTGCTGCAGCAAAAAAATACCCACCGCAACCATCGGCTGCACATCGCGAGGGGGAAAACTCAGCCTGGTCCCTGCAGGAAGCAAATCCCGGGGGGAAGACACGTCTCCGGGTCTGCCCGGCTGCCTCTCCACGTGCAGAGCCACCCCTACCCCTCAGGATGCCCTTTCCACCACCTCCCTCCACCCGTCCTGGGGGCTGAGCCCATCTGGAGCTAAATCCTAGGAAATATCCCGCCAGCCCCATCACCTGGGGCAGTGGCATCCCTGGTGTCCTCTGAATTCCTCCGAGTTGCCTTCTCCTCCTTAATATGATGTATTTCAAAGGGCAGATAATAAGGCCATTAATTCTTTGGCTCACGCTGTGAACTATTTAATGGAACATGACAAGAAAACAGTGTTTCTTTCCTGGGAGTAATTATTGTTTGACTTCAAGTCTTTACCTACGGCAATAGCTGTAAGGAGAGCGGTTCCATTAAAGGCAGGTGGGGACTCTAAATCCTTAGAAATGAGGACAGTTTTTTAACCTGAAAGACATCATAAATGACCAGAGCTGGGCCAGTTAATTTATATCTCGTTTCAGAACATTTAATGGTGCTTCTTTTCATCGCTGAACCAGGCACTCGGTGGCTCTAACAGTTGGTGATTTTCTATGCAGCGTCTCCTCCCGCACCTGAAGCCAGCGAGCAAACCATCCCTCATTACGGGGACATTCCCGAGGGCTGCCCTATTTTTCTCGTCCTCCTTGGAAAGCCGAAGCCCTTTGGGATGTTTTACCCACGACAGCAGCGGCTGCACCCCGTGAGACAGCCCCCAAACTGAGGGGGATTAAGCATCAGGGTGAAATCCATGTGTGCACCGTGCCCTGGGCAGGGTGGCACGTGGGCCAGCAAGAACCCAGGAGCTTTCCCATCTGCAGTCACCCAGAGGAAACAGGGTGCCGTGTAAGCACACTCAGGATCCATCCCTTTAGCCAAAGGACCTTGTTCTGGAAACCCGGGCTCTGGAACCAATTCTCCCTCAACGAGCCCTTCCCAGATCCTCTGACGTATCCCAAACCCTGCTGGAAAATCCTCATCAAACGCGATTGCTCTATACGGGTTAGCTCTATAGGGTTACGAGGGCCTTCCCCCCGGCCTATTATTGCGGGGTTGCTCCCGATTGCTAGGCTACACGCTGTTGCTGTTGGCCTGGAGGCACGCTGGCTGCTCAGGGCCCACATGTGTGCTGCTGGGTGACTCATGAGAGCTGGCCCCGGCAGCTCAGGCTGCCTTCGCGGCGTCTCCAGAAGAACATTCCCTTCTGCTGAGGCACAGCCCCGGCACCACGGGCAGCACAGAGCCCTGCGTGGCCCCATTGGGGACCCCCGAGCACCCGCACGGCTCAGGGTTGGGGGCAGCCCCATGGGGACAGCACTGGGGAGGAGCAGAGGGGGGATAAGAGCGATGTGGCCCTGCTCCGAAGCAGCTCGGGGAGTTGCAGCAGTCCTGTGGGTGCAGGAGCACCCAGACCCTCCTAGGGGTGAATTTTATTTTATTTTATTTTTTTCTGAGGCCAGGAGACCAGGCTGGATGTGTGCAGGAGCTGAGTTCAGCTACGGGATGGGGAGCCTCTCCCATGGGATGGGAAGTGCCTCCCATCTGCAGAACCATCCCGTAGGAAGCTGTGACACTCCTGGACAAGCCTTCACACTGAACCGAACTCACAATGGTTCAGCCAGCATGGGAATAAAAATCCCAGCAGCTCCCATCTCCTTCATTTTCAGCACCAGTTTTGCTTCAGAAATCAAATTGCTACGGGGAACCGCAGCTCACCGGCCGCTCCGCATGTTTGCTGCCGAATGCACGCCGAGAGCCCAAACCTCCCCGGCTCGCCCCCCAGCCTGGCTCCCCCAAATTTGCGCAGCCCCCCAGCCTGCAGCTCCAGGCAGCCCTCGGAGACACCGAGTGGCTGAAAAAACACACTGCAGGCACACAAAACTCCTGGCAGCCCTCCTCCTGCATCTCATAGCCTGCAGGGCCTCGTGTGAGGTGAGCTCTATGAGCTCAGGGCAGCCCCTCTTGCCACCAATATTGACCAGAAGCATTGCACAGAGCAGAGAATAATTTGAGGCTCGATGCTCTGGGCTTTGGACGGGCCACATCATTCGTCTTGATCCTGCAAAGCATCTCAGGAGCTGCACAGTGGCAGTGGGACTTGCTGGAATTGCAAACGTTGGGCTAGAGGATGTCTTTGCCTCTTGTCCCCTGGGCTGTCCTCAGGAAGTCCCAGCGTGTCTCTAATGAGCCCCTCGTGTGCTTGCTGGATCCCTGGAGAGTAATAAAGCTGAGACTCCAGCTTGCTTGGGTTTAATAAAAAGAGAAAGAGAAGACAGCTCCTCAAAATCATCCTTTAACAGCAGCAGTTCTGGGAGACACCCCCAGTTTGTGCTGGTTTTACGGGGCCTTGCAGGGGTGCTGAGCTCGGCACCCAGGTCCTGCAGAGCACATAAAGCCTGGGAGGGCCGCAGGAGGACGGCTGCAGGGCTGATTGCTTTTTGTGCCTCCTGCACATGCAGCGTTCAGGACGTGATGTTGGCATCACTGCCAACCCTCCCCTAAAGCCTCCTTGCCACCTTCTGCCAAATTTGGCAGAGCCCCAGAGCCCCGGGGAGAAGAATTCCCGATAACTCGCATGGAAATGCGCAGCTGGGTGAAGCGGGGAGGCTCCTGCACCCATCCCAGCACGCCTGTGGGGTGAGCGCAGCCCCACCAGCCTCCAGTGCTCAGCCACCGCCTCGTGCTGGGGCCTGGGCTGGCAGCCAGGTGCTGAGACATGGCCTCCACCTGCCACCTAGTGTTTCCCTAGTGTTTCCTTCCCACATCCAGCTACAAACCCCTGCAGCACCACCAAAGGCACCCCAAAACCCAAACGCAGCCGGGTGCCGCGCGGTTCCCATCACCAAAAGAAGTCCCAACACCCTATAAGCACACTGGGGGGGTGCCTGCGGGCAGTGGTCCCCTCCTGGCTCCTAGCAGGGATGCTCCGTGCCTTCCCTGGTGCTCAGCCAGCTGCTGGGGAAGTTTTTTTCACCCCCGTCTCCTCCTGGACTCTCCCTGGCCGGTGCTGGGTGCTCGCTACGTGTCTCGCACAGTTGCAGCCTCCTGGAGCTCAGCCCAGGAACATCTCACCCGCGTGTCTGGGCAGGGCGGACATCCTGCCAACCCCACCAGCTCCCCATGGCATTTTAGGGTCGGGGTTAGCACACCGGGCTGGGGGCAAGGTGCCCCGTGCCGGGACATGAGCCCTGCCCTGCCCCGGTGTCTGCTGCAGCGCACGCCAGGCTCTGTCCCACAGCCGCCCCCGCTCCAGGCAGCCCCGGCGGCCGGCCGAGTCCCCGGCTGACCCCAGCCCAGCATCTGGAAGTGCTCAAGGCAGCTCCTGCTGAGCCTTTCGGCAGCGGGACCCACACGGACACGCTCATCCCTGGATAGCCAGCGGGCAGAGCGAGCAGACAGCGGGGTCAGCGCAGGGGTGGAGGCCAGAAAAGGGCTTTCTGAAGGCTGAGAGGAGTTTCTGCCTTTCCTTTTCCTTTACTTTTTCTTCCCAAATCTACTTTTCTTTTTCTTTTTCCTTCTTTTTTAATTTTTTTTTTTTTTCCCATAACAATTCTCACCTTTATCAACACTGAGAGCGTGACCCTCGCCGCTGCCTACCCCGTGCTCCTCTGCATCCCCTACAGACAGCAGCGGGACCAGCCCCTCGGTGTGATGCTCATGTCACCATTTCGGGTGGTTCTGCCCAGCTCCCCACCGTGCTCCGTGCCATCTGCTGGCAAATCCACTGGCCACGGGCACCTCTCCATCCCCTCTCTGCCCCACAGCATGAGGAGCCCCAGGGCTGTCGGTGCTGGCACAGGGGGGCTCCTTCTGCAGCCTGGGACAGAGCTGAGCTGCAAAGGGTCTGGGCAGGGTTTTGTGCCCAGGAACACGCAGCTTGCTGCTTCTCCCATGTAAGAGCTGATCCGAGGTTTCTGCCACACGCAGCGTTCCTGGGAAAGCCTCAGGCACGGCGGCAGTGCCAGCGTTTTCCCCTGCTGCCAGGGGATGAATCCTGGC